GTGTGTGTGTGTGTGTGTGTGTGTGTGTGTGTGTGTGTGTGTGTGTGTGTGTAACCATGTGGTTGTTGAGGTCAGAGGTTGATGTTAAGTATTTTCCTTAACTGCTTTCCACATTATGACTATGACCATGACCATGACTATGAGAGTCTCAGTCTTTCGCTGAACCTGAAGCTCACAGATTTAGGTTAGCAGCAGACAGCATGCCTCAGGCCTCCTCCGAGCACGGCCTTCCAGCAACAGGCTTTCAGGCACCCGCCCCCCAAACTCAGCTTTTTATGCAGGCGCTGGGGATCCCACGCCAGGACCTCCTGCTTGCACAGAAAGAACTTCATCGACTAAGCCACCTCCCTGGCCAACATTACTCCTATTGTTAAGCACTGCCAGCTGTCCATGATTAGCAGCGTCACAAGGAAACCGATATCTGGATAGTATCCTCTTAACTGTGAAGTCAAATTGTCAATTACAGCAGGAAATGCATAGCGCAAATGACTCAAATGTAAGCGTGCAGAGGAGGATCCTGTTTAGGAAAATGAATGTTCATAAGTCACATGAGACCAGGGGTGGGGCTCGGCGGTGAAGTGTGTGCTTAGCATGTGTGAGGCACTGAGGGCACAAAAATAAGCATTGTTGGCAGAAGTGAGCTGGAGCCGATGTATTCCCGCTCCTGAGCACTGGCTGTCACATGGCTTCCCACCTCTGCCTGAGTGGCACTGGAGGCTTCACTGCCAATGCTGGGGGTGCTTACAGCACAGACATAGGCACACAGTGCCCATCAGAAGTGTGAGGTGCTACTGTTTAGTTTCGTTTTGTTTGAAACGGCTGGTTTTTAAACGTTTCTCAGCACAAAACCAGGCAAAGGAATGTCCTATAAAAACAAAACTTTCTTCGTGTCCTATAAAAGTTAAGTTTCTTTTTAAAACAACTTTTTAATAAATGTTTTGAAAACTTCATTCAATGCATTTTGATCATATTTACCCACAACTCCTAACTCCTCCCAGATTCATAAAAGTGTCTTACTGAGTAATCATATTTATTTCAATTTGGAGTAATTTATTTTTAATGTTGAAACATGTCCTTATGCCCCTATATTCTCTAGGATTTTATCATGAAGAGGTGTTGGAGTTTGTTAAAGACATCTAACGAGATATCTTGTGATTTCTGTCCTTGAGTCTCTTATGCAGTGAAACACTGTTGATTTACATATGTGAAACCGTCCCTGTCTCTGGGATGAAAGGAGTTGGTCTTGGTGGCTGATTTTTTTAATGTGTTCTTTATGTTGGTTTGTATTTTAAGAAGATCGTGTATTTAAGAAGATTGTGCTCTCATTTAGCACTAAAAGACGTTTTTTGTTTAAAAAGAAGACAAAGCTATAAATTTAATAGTAGTGAAAAAATCTAAAGTAGTGGTTTTGGGAGATAGAAAGATTGTGAAGTGGTTAAGCCACGAGGGTGAAGCCTTTATGAGTAGGATTAGCACCCTTATAAAAAAGACTCCGGATGACCCACACTCTTCCCATCACACGAAAACACAGGGAGAAAACGGCCATCACCCTGTGAGACAAGAAGTGAGCGTTCCCCAGACACCCCATGTTCCATCCCCTTTGCACTTGGCCTTCCCAGCCCCCACACCTGTGAGAAATATATGTCTGTTGTTTCTAATGGTGTTTTCACCATAGCAGCCCAGTTACATCAAGCTGTAAGTCTCAGAAGAGATCGAATGAGGAAGAACAAAAAGCAGAACATCTTACAAAGTACCCAATCTCCTCTTTCCTCTCCTCCTCAAAGTGGGGAGGGAGGTGGGCCATGAGCGGTAGCCCATGCACCACAGTCCTCCTCACACAGTCTTTGCACTGAACAATGTTCATGGGGACCTTCTAACCTGTCCTGCAACTCCTCCTCTCTGTTGAAACTGTGGTATGCTCTTCGTTCCCAACTCTCTTCTCCCCATCCCTCCCTCACCTCTTCTGACACATTCATTCCTACATCCTCATCCCGTTTTCTCTAGAGACTTTTGCCTGATTTTTTTTTCCGAACTCTCATTTCTATAACTTAAAATCTATTGACCAGTAGATATAACAAGGACTGCCTTATTCAACTCTAGCCTCGGATTTTCAAGGAGTGAAATGAAATTTGCTCCAAAGACATATAGCACAAATGAAGGTTTTACAAACGAAGGATCAAAGCAGCTGGAGAGTTGGTCCATCACTTAGTCGTCAGTGGGGCTCTGCATGGGTTGCAGACACAAACGTGCTTGCATTCCAACACCAAGAACTGCAGCAAAAGCGTACACTGGCACACTTCTGCCCAGATCCCCACTCATGCAAATCAATTTGCCACACTTATTAGCAATAAACACAGTTGTGAATTGAGCACTGAAGTACTGTGCCTTTCCAGTTCCCAAGATAATCTGATTAGAACCTCATAAAATGTGTGTTTCTCTCTGCCAGCGAGAACAATTCGAGAGATTAAGAACAGCTTTGCTGAGTTGTCGCCTCATGGAAACTGGCATCCAATTGTTCGGAAGAAGACTTCAGCTCTGCAGGAGGCCTGATCACTCACAGCTGGCAGCATAAGCCTTGGCACCTCTGATTCTACACGGTACAACGTGCATTTTCTGCTTCCATGTTATGAAAGTCAAGATACACAAGGCTATTGACTAAACAGGACAGAACCCAAACGCTGCCATTGAAACTGGAACTGAAGAATTCATTTGGGCAAACTTATGCTGTGGTGGCTCAGTTTCATCTCTCAGTAGGTTTCTGTTTTACAATCCTATGAGACTATTAGGATAAGTTTGTGTTTGTACTTATTTCATTGATAAAGAAGTAAAAATAATTGAAGAAAACACCAAGGTTTCCACAGGATAATTAGTGTACCTTCTGCCTTACTTCATAACTTGTCACACATGGCCACCTGTTGCCACTGTATTCTTGCCTTTGCTCCGGGTACCCTAAAGACTATTGGTGTGTGGGTGTGGGTATGAGTGTGTGTGTGTGTTTCTCTCTGTGTGCATATTCCTGGCCCAGGTGTGTATGTAGTATATACATGTATTTGGGTTGCATTCACCGGTGCATACGTAGTGAGGTCAACTGGAGGTCAACATGGACTTTCTTCTCTATTGCTCTCCGCCTTTTTTTTTTTTTTTTTTTTTTTTTGAGGCAATCCTGGAGATTATTGTCTGGGCTAGGCCAGCTGACCAGGAAGCCCCTGAGATCTGCCTGTCTTGGCTGGGTTTTACAGCCTACAGCTTCATGCAGCCTCATCGGCTTATATAAGGATGTCAGGGATCCAAACTCAGGTCCTTCCTCGTGTTTGCAGAGCAATCATTTCACCACGTAGCCTAAGACTACTGGTTGTTTGTTTGTTTCAGTCATAGCCAAAGAACTGCAATTTGTCCCAAAACTTTCCCTGGTATCACCTTTCCCTACTGCCAATGGGACTCCCACAGTACACCTCAGGGAAGATGCACCCACACTGTACTTAGTCAACCCTGACTTTCCCAGGAGACAGTATCCTCACTGAGTCATTTTAGTTATCACGAGGGGGACAGTACTACCTCCCCATTCTACAGACAGGAAAGTAGAGGTGCCTAAGGTCACAGAGGTCATCGAATGGTAGGACTAACTGAAGTCTAAACTGTCTGCTCCAGAGCTCTTAACCTTGATCCCCCAAAGGACTAAACGCACATCTGTTTCTCCGTGTCTGGGGTCTGAGAAGTAGAAGAACATGCAGCAAAACCCCAAACTCACCTTCAATTTCTCCTTAAGAAGTCTATTCCTTTGTAGTTTGATTATTTCATTTCTTTGCAAAACAGCCTCTCTCTGACTTTGAATAGCTTGCTACATTAAGAAAGAAAACAAAGCGGTCAGAGGCTAGGGTTATCAGCAGCGATGAGTACACATTGTTTTAGCCGTCATCATTTGGCCCAGAAGCTCGAGTGTTCGCATACAGGATTAGGAACTACCAGACACAAAAGGCACTGTTTAGAAATTACTGGTGCAGATGCTGGAGCGATGGTCCAGCTCTGGAAAGCACCTGTTACTGTTTAAGAGTTTGGTTCCCAGAATCCACTTCTGTGGACCACAACTGCCTGTAATTCCAGCTCCAGGGATCCAATGCCCTCTCCTGGCCTTCTCCAAGCAACCACTCTTATATAGCACACACACACACACACACACACACACATAGCATATATATATATATATATATATATATTATATACATATATATACATGTATATATATGTATTTATATATATATGTATGTATCTGTTTCAAAATGATTGGTCATACTTACATCTCCCATCTTTCTTTCCCTGAAATGAAATAATAAGAAAATGTCACAAGGATTAAACTTTTATTTTATGTCCTAGCAAATTTACAACTTTGCTTGAAAGATAGACAAATATTGCCCCTGCCCTTTGTGTAAGTGCCTTTGACTCAACTTTCTCTCTCTCTCTCCCTTTCCCCCACCTCCTGAACCTCTTCTAGTGTCTTGGAAAGGGAGTTGTTATTTCTCTGGTAAGCCAGTATTTTGCACTCAGGAATATCCTGTAATGTCACCCCCTGACCCAGGCAGAGGGTGGCCCTCTCAGTCTGAGTTCATGTGGCACTGGGCTTGCCATCCCTGGCTTTTAGCCCTCTTTTACACAGTGCTCTCAGAAATGAGGCAATGCTCAGCACCGAGGCAGATTTCATGATTTGTGTGATGGCGCAGGACAAATTGTAGGGGGTGAGGGATGAAGCTAGAATTCTGATCTAGACCATTAGAGAAAAAGGAGTCCTGGAGAAAGCACTCAGGCTTGCGTTTTCGAGAGCCTGGGGGAAATGTGCAGGGGACAGCTGAAGAAGCTCCTGCGACAGCAGAGAATTTCCGGTGACCTCGTGCTGTGTGCTCAGCGCTGCCTGGTCACATTTGTTCTGCTGGTTCATTTTTCACTCTCAGAAGTATCCCAGTATGGAAGACAAGTCCCACCTCTCCCATCTCTTGGGGGCCACAAGGACACCTATTAATTTCCACGGAGCTCTCCAACCTTTTGTTCTTAGTTATAAGACTGGTGCTCTGAAATCTTTGGGTCCAAATTCTCAAGTTTTGAGTTAAAATCTTTAAGGTAAACAATACTGAAGTGAAACCTGACACTGGAAAGCTACACTAGGCTGGAGAGTTTTATGGTATGTTCCTCCTAGTGGCAGGAAGCCTAAATGTCCATGTCTTGGGGACAGGAAGCATTATTTTCATATTGTATATTTGAGTGGCTCCTCAGAGTTGCATAGAAAATAGTGGCTTCACACAGAACAACTGACCTAGGATTGTCACATGACCCAGACTCTTGAGCCAACCCACCCAGGCATCTTGACATCTGAACAAGTCACACGGACTTCCCGTTTATCCCCAACAGACCCTTGGAGAGGCATGAGGTGAAGTTACATTGTCGCTTTCATAGCCAGGACCCGTGAAAGAAAGCCCCCAGCCTCGCAAGCTCAGCACCACACCTGAGATATTCCCGCAAGTGAAGTTTGTCGGTTTTGGTGACCACCAGGGCGATGTCCCTGCAGAAGCCACGCTGGCAGGCTTTGATGCTCTCGTTCAGAAGGTCTTCGTGGGCCTTTCCTCCGGAAGCACGCTCTATGTCGCTGATCACCCAGATCACGGAACACTTGTCAATGGTCTGAAGGATGCCCACAGCAAGGGTCAGAACGTGGGTGGCAGCTCGGTTCCAGAGACTGCAGTTCAGTGATGGATCTTACACTCTTCCTTTCCCCGCTCCCGTCTCTCGCTCAGAGCTTCCACTCCACCGTCTGCGCCAGCCAAGAAGGCGGCTCGTGTGTGCACCAGCCGAACACTGAGCCCGGCCTCCGCCTGTCCAGGCTCTGCACTGGATTGCCACAGTAGAACACACCGCCTCCCCTGGACATCCTGCATGGCTCAAGTCCCTGCTATGGCCTCTCACAGACTGCTCGGGGCAGTCCTCTGATACCTAGGGGGGAGGTCTCTCTGTGCCTTGCATCTTAGAGCGCACAGGACTTACTTGACCCACCAGAACTCCCAGCTTCCTGCACAATGATGGACAAGAGTTCGAAAACTCAGCCCTCCAGATCCAGAGCCATCAGTCAAATGGGTCACCTCACTTACCCTGTAGGGGTAAGGTTCTTCAAACAACCTTTGGTCACTGAGCAAGAAGCTAGGTACCCTATAATTCACGTTTCGAAGGCCAACGACTGTAACATTAATAGCATCAATGCTGCTTTGTTAAATACTCAGCTTCCGTGTGACAATTATGCATGGCCCTGTGACATGTTTCTCACTGAATTGTCTGTCTTATCTCTGTATATGTGAAATGCTGATCTAACTTTAAAAAAGTTCATTTTCAGTTATTCAACACAGTACGTTGTGCATAAATGTGTGGCTAATTTGTAACTTAAGAATTACTATTGTCATTATTCTGATTCATACCCATTGTGTTAACTAGTGGAGATCCTATACCTGGAAATACTGAAGATTTTTTTAAAGAATGTTTTTATTTGCATGTGTGCCTGTGTGTGTGTGTGTGTGTGTGTGTGTTTGTGTGTGTGTATGTGTGTGTGTGTGTGCACGTGTGCCATGTGTGTACAGGTGCCTACAGAGGCAATAAGAGAGTGTTCAATGATCGCAACTGGACCTACAGGCAATTATAAGCCCAGCAACACAGATGCTGACAATTGAGTTCAGGTCTTCTGCAAGAGCAACAGCAAAGGCTCTTAGCCACTGAGCCATCTCTTCTGCCCCTCTGAAAATATTTTTGATTGTTACAACTTGGGATACTGACAGTTAGAGTCTAAAAATCTTACAATGCCCAGAAGACTTTCCTGTTACAAAGAATTATCTGACCTCAAATGTTTCAAGGTTGAGAGACCTCGAGTTAACAGCAGTGAGTTTCAAATGAGTTTTTCCCAAGGTTGCATAGCTGATGAGTGGCAGAATCTATGGTTAGGCCAATTTCCTAACTTGCCTGCTGTGGTCCATGTGTACTGTACCCCATGATTTCAAGGCATCCCTCCATCTGCTGCCCTTGGGAAAAGGCAGCCCCAGCACCTTACTCAGACTCTAGCTCATGGCAAATGCCTTTGAAGGAGTCCAGGGTGCTTGATTTTAAATGCAGAAGTATTCTGGTTGCATCAGGAGTGGGGAGACCTGGTGTCATCATTTGCTTGGGCCTCTCCACCTCTTTCTGATCCCAAGTCTCTTGCTCCGTAGATCGTGGTTTAAAGAATATGTCCCCTGAGTTAGACAAAGCCCTCTAAAGAGAAGAAGCGCTGAGAAGTAAAGGAGTCACCCAGGGCCACACAAGCTTGGACTCTGATACTTGTCTGATACAACATAAACACTACGGTATGTCAGGGTCTCATGCTCTTATTCCTGAGATACTGAGAGAAAACTTTTACTCAATTACTCCAACTGTATACAATCAATGAGGGGACCCCTACACTACACCTACACTAAAAATGAACCACACATATGGCAATTTCACACATTCACAATGACTCAAACTATCTCTCATGTCACACTGGACTCTTGTATTCAGTACTCTACACAGCAGTCAGAGCTGTGTTGCTAATATGTGTGCTTTCTCACCTTGAAACTTCATGTCCCAGTCACAATTAAATAGAGACTCAAAGTATTTTACATATGCTATAAAAATCCCTAGGGCGTTTCTTACTCCAATGTTCTGCCACTCTATCCCTGTCTACTTCAGCTCCAGGGAACAGTGCTAGAGTATACTTCATGTCGTCTTAGTATTTTTGTAGATGATTTATTTCCCTTAATCTTCCCTGGTCCAGTCCCTCATACCATTTACTTATCTTCCTAAGTAACGCCTCTTTGCAAAGTTAGATAAGTGAAAAATCTGGATTCTCTAATTTCTTCTCTCAATGTTACAAATAATCTTTCATAGATGATAGATCTAGTCATTTGTTGATTGGTTATCTTCTCTACTAGATAAGTTTGGAATGGACCCACATTTAGACACCAATATTAAAAAAAAAAAATGCTTGCTGCTTTTCCCTCCCAGTTTCCAAATTAGAGTTAACTTAGAGACGCTTGGGACTCTTCTGTGTCCATGGTGGATAATGTGAGTTTTTTGGTATGGAAGACTGTGGACCAAAGTCTGGGAGCCCCTTGAGGACAGGGCCTCTTTCACCCTTGTCTTCTCTGCGCCTAAGCAAGCTACAGGTGCTCAACAAGCATGGCCTAAGAGGGGACATGACAACAGTCCTAAAAAGTTGCTGCACTTAAATGTCAACCCCACGCTAAGCCCCTGACTACCAGGATCTGGCTGTAGTTCCAGTGGAGGAAGAGACAGAAAAAAAAAAATTAAAACACACTCAACCAGACCTCAGAGGAGGGATGAGTGGAACTCTTTCAACCCCACCCTCCTCCCTTCCAGAGATGAAAATGAGCATCCAAGGGTTAGGCAGCAGTGCCCAAAGTCTCCCAACAGCATCTAGGTGGCAGAGCAAGGACATCTAAATCTGTTGTTGTGCTTTTAGGGACAGCAGAGTGAGCCTTGTTCTTACAGTCTGTTCTTCCTGGGAAGAGGGTGCCTTCAGTTACTTCCTGTGAGAGGCTGTCAAAAAGTAAAAACCTCAGGAATGAAAGGGAGTGAGGCCAGGCAAAGCACTCTGGGAACCAGCCTGTCCCTGTAGCTAACTAACCTCCTCAGAGCACGATCCAGGCCAGAACCACTGGCTTTGATAAGCTGCCCAGTACATCCAAACTAGCTGCAACCATGTTCCATCCAGGGAAGAGCCAGCCAGCCCCTCTTCAGCTGACACTCGGCTTGGCCTGAAACTAGATGAGTTTCGGAGTGAAAGACCTGGGGGGGGGGTGGAGAAACTAAAATTCACATGGCCAGTCCTGAGCAACTGACCAGTACAAAGAACGTGGACTACCTCATCCTAAAGAGAGGAAAAATGGACAGGGCAGGGGGCGGATAGAGCCCTGTGGGCCAGTTAAGAACCTTGACTATCAGTGAAACCTCTGTCAGTCACTAGCCTCGAACAGGTTACTCTCCTTCTCTGAACCCTCAGTTTCAGCAGTCAGTCAGGCTGCTTGGTGTGAATGACAACACGGCCAGAGTTGTAAGAGATCTTTGCCATAGTTACTATGCTTCGAACAATCAGCGATGGCACTGGTCATCTGTCCCCGTCTCCATGCAGCTGAGACCCTGTCTTCCCACAACACCTCTTTCTTTAAAGAACAGCCCAGTCTTTCTTTTCCTTCTGGTTTGCTCAGAAAGCCAAACTCTGAAGCAGCAGGACGAAGGCAGACAGCTCCAGCCTTCACTCCTGCCTCTTCCCTCCTCCACACACCCTGGAACCTTCCCTCTGACCCCAAGGAGCACCATCTCTCCCCACCTTGCCAACACCGATGCAGACTTGCTTCTTCAACAACTGACAGTGCCTTGCACTCTCCGTCTCTGCTACAGTTTGAATGGGAAATGTCTCCTACAGGTTCAATGTATTCGAAAACTTAGTTTCCAGTCAATGGTGATGTTTGGGGAGCTTATGGAACCTTTCTGATAGCTCAGCCCCACTCTCTGATGCATGCTCTCTCTCTCTCTCTCAGTCCTCTCTTGCTCTCTCATTCTCCCCCGACCCAGCTCTGTCTCTCTATGTATGTCCGTCTCTTTGTCTCTCGGTCTTTATGTCCATATGTCTGCTTGTCTCTATCTTTCCCATGTGAGGATGAAATTTGATCACTCTGCCTCCTGACTGCCAGGCGGCCCCTTGCTCCTGCCACCATGCCCCCTCCAGTTTGGTAAATTGTAGCCCCTCTGGAACCATAAGCCAAAATAAATTGCTTTTTGCCAGGACATTCTATCACAGCAACAGAAGAGTAACTAAAACAGCCTCCGTGGTGCTCATGATCTCCTTTTCCCTTTCTTCTGTTCCCCTTTAGTCCTCTCAGTTGCTGCCCTTCTCACAGATCACATACTCTTGTCCTAGCTACGCAACCTCCCCTGCCAATCCCTTCTTCCCTGGTTTCTGTGGCAATCCATGCACAGCCCCTGCCTTGTTCAACACCAGAACATCAAAAATGAAAGAATTTCATGTCATCAAGCTCACAAAATCCCAACCTGTTGTTTTTGAAAGAGTGGAGGAGTAGAGAGGGAAAAGGGAAAGCCCCTGTGAAAAAGAATCACCTTTTTCCACATCTCATCCCTCTTGCTGTTGAAGTCACCTGTGCCTGGAATGTCCACCAAGACAACCCCTTCTGGGATCAGTGCAGATTTGGGAAGGATGACTTCCACATATTTGATCAAAGGCCAGATTTGTGTGTCCACTGATTGTCCATCCCAGTCTCTCCTCTGAGTCCGGATGTAGGGGTCCAGCTTGACAGACAGCTCTCCTGCCTGCACGGGAAGAGTGGGTCACATGTACCAGCCGTGCTGACAGCTGAGGGATGGTGAGAACTTTCTAGACAATAGATATCAGGAAGCCTGCAATGGTCTCTGCAAGGACCTAGACCTCGAGAGCCTAGAAAGACTCTGCAGAGCAGCACGTCCAAGCTCCTTAACATAGTTGGGGATACAGAGGTGGCTCAGTGGATAAGAGCATTTGCTGCTCAGTCATGAGGCCCAGAGTTCAGATCCAGCACCTACACTGGACAGCTCACAGCTGCCTTTAACTCCTGCTCCAAGGAATCCCACACTGTCTTCCAGACTCCATGAGTGTGCATGCACACACACACACACACACACACACACACTAAAAAATAAATATCACACACACACACACACACACTAAGAAAATAGATATTTAGAATTCAGTGGGGCTGGGGATGTAGTTCGTTTGATAGAGCATTTATCTAGCATGCACAAAGCCCTGCCTGGATTTGGGTGCAGAAATGCCTAAACTGGGCACGGTGGTGCGTGTTTGTAATCCTAGTCCTCGGCAGATGGAGACAGAAGAATCCAGAGTTCAAAACAGTCTCTGCCTACACAGTGAGTTCAAGGCAGTTTGCAATATTAGAAAGCTGCCTAACTTTCAGACAGTGCAGCCCAACTTAGCTGGAAGAGAACTCCAGAAAAGCTATAGGAGACTAAATTTATCTCCCGAATTCCATTTGCTTCTAAAATTGACTCAAGTTTCTAAATTTTGCTTAGAGCATATTTTCTCCACATGGCAAAAGGCAACTGTGAAGAATTTAATTACTGAAAATATCATGGATAAATATAGAAAACCAATCATGACCTAATGATCATATTTTCCAAGTTAAAAATCGATCAGAAAATTGATCTTTTAAAATTTTTTTTTAAATAATTTCCAAGTATATACACATTTAAAAAAAAAAAACAACACTTGATATGTAGGCTTTTCCAGCACATTTCAACAACAGGAAGTGGGGCAGGGGAAGTTTCCATCTCCTGTTCCTGCTTAGACACATCTGGGAACAAAGACACATTCATGCTAGCAGTGAAGGCAGTAATTCTCAGAGCGCAGAAAACTGGGATGGATGCTGGTCATTGTTGATCAAAGGCTACTGAATGATCCAGAAAGAAAGCAAGAAAGAATAAAGTTTTTTTTTTTTCAAAAGATTGCTTAAAATTGTGTGCACGTGTATATACATGCATGCATATACACACATGGACATGAACACACACACACACACACGTAAGTTTACACATAAGCATGCCACAGGACACACGTAGAGGTCAGAGGACAGCTTGCAGGAGGCAGTTTACTTCTTCTACTTTGTGGGTTTTAGGGATCAAATTCAGATTATAGGGCTGATGGCAAATACCTTTACCTGTGGAGCCATTTCACTGCCCCCAGGGGTGGGAGGAACTTAGGTTGTTTTTTATTTTTTTTTAATGTACAATGTTTATAAATTAAATGTTGGTTTCACAGATATTTCGTCTTAATGTAGATTCTGAATTTCAGCTTGATAAAATAGTTGCCAATTCTGAAAGTAGGGTGAGGCAGCCCAGTCTTTATTCATACCAGCCTGGATGTCTGTCTGTCTGTTTGGAGAGCCAAGGGAGTGAGGTTGACCTAAGTCACTGAGGACATGACAGGGTCCTGCCACAGAGAGCCACTCAGCCCATCTCTGAACAATGGAAGTCACACCCAAATTTATCAAGGGTGTGATAAATCAAGGGTGTGATAAACATCTGGGGAGCTTTTCACTTCCTGAAATGGGAGGTATGTTTGGAACCAACATTCATCTACTTCTTTCCATGAGACTAGCTGCAATGTCTGGCTCTTCAGCAGCAACCTTATGACTAAGAGGCAACAAGCACCATGGAAGGCCAAGGAGACCACAGAGTTGTAAATCTTTCTAAGACCCTGCCACCTCCAAATGTTTTTATGAGAAAAAAAAATGAGTAAAATTCATTTGTGTAAGCCTTTATGTATAATACATTTGCAATAATATATCATATAATATATAATGGATATGTATAATATAATAAATATATATTCACTTTCATTCAAAGCCGTCCCAAATTAATTAATTGTAGTCTTTTCTAAGCATAAAAACTCCATTTGAAAATCGAAGGTTACCATCTTTAGACATAAATAATGAAAGATACCTTGAATAGTGAATAATTCTGTTTGGGTACCAGTTTATTTCTAATAAAAAATCGCTGTACCTTGGACAATTCCCCTGGATGGATTCAAGTGTTTTGTTTGTTGGTTGGTTGGCTATTGGTTTTTCAAGACAGGGTTTCTTCTCTGTGTAGCCTTGGCTGGCCTGGGCTCGCTTTGAAGACCAGGCTGGCCTCGAACTCACAGAGATCCGCCTGCCTCTGCCTCCCTCTACTGGGATTACAGGCATGCATCACCGTGCCCAGCTTCAAGTGTTTTTCCTTAAGACCTATAATAAGGAAAACTAAATCTTGACGTTACCTCCTCTGCCTTTAGAGTGATGGTTCTTGAGGTCGGGATCCTCCCCCTGGGCTTCATCCTCAGCAGCTCCTCATAGCGCCTCTTTTCTGCCCCGCGGCCATAGAGCATCTGCAGCTTCCGGGCAGCTTCTTCCGCTGCATCGTCCCACAAATCTGCCTCGGCTCCCCCGGGCCCCTCCGCCCTGTGCAGGAGCTTAGTCAAGTCCTTCAGTTCCGCCTTCCACTCCTGCCAAGGCAGAGCAGGGCCACACAGCTCATGACAGAGAGAGAGGACAGTAATAAAGGGAAGGGGGCAGCACAGCCCCGTCCCCCGCCTTGAGGAAGGCCAGAGGTTGCCAGCAGAAACCTAAACCAGCTACCCCAAACCCCATGTCCCGTAAATGAGTATCCCGGTTGGCCTCGCCAACTTGACACAGCCTGGAGTCACCTGAGGCAGGAAGCTTTAACTGAGGAACTGTCTGTTTGTGGCCATGACTGTGAGGGACTGTCTTGATTTTCTGAACTGATGGGCAGTGTCAAACCTACTGTGTGTGATGCCATTTCGGGGCAAGTGGTCCTGAGCTACATAAAAAGCTGGTTGAGGAGGAACCTGTGAGGCAGCCAAGAAGCGAGCGAATAGGCAGCACTCTCTCACAGTTTCTGCCTTTGAGTTCCCTCCCTGACTTTGACCTGACCAACGACAGAGTGTGACCTGAAAGTGTAAGCCAAATAAACCCTTTCCTTCCCTCAGTTGTCCTTTGTCGTGATGTTTGTCACAAACAGAAAGGAAACTGGAACAACGGGGAAACAGGGACTTCAAGAGGGGCATGGCTGGCCCAAGGGTCTCACAAGGAATTACCTCAGCTCCTGAGTCAGAAGCCCCATCTCTGCAGAACAACTCACTTCAATGTTTCATTCAATAAATGTGCTATAGTTATTTGTGTATATGTGTACGTGTGCGCACATACGTGTGTGAAGGCAGGGGTTGAGATCACATGTTTCCCCAATCATCTCTCCTGACTGACTGACTGACTGAGACAGGATCTCTCACTGAACGTGCAGCTCTCTAATTCAGCCAGGCTGGCTGGTCAGTCAGCATCTGTCTCTCCCACACTGGGATTACAGACACAGCTGGCTTTTTCACCCTTCACGGATGCTAGAGGTCCAAACTTAATGTTTTCACAGCAAGCTCTGTACCAACTGAGCCATCTCCCCAGCTCTGTGCTGCACTTATACTGAATATAATATAATATAATATAATATAATATAATATAATATAATATAA